ACACCACATCAACTGTCTGTGGTGTTTTACACAAGATAGTAATGTGTTATTCCTACACCACATCAACTGTCTGTGGTGTTTTACACAAGATAGTAATGTGTTATTCCTACACCACATCAACTGTCTGTGGTGTTTTACACAAGATAGTAATGTGTTATTCCTACACCACATCAACTGTCTGTTGTTTTTCACACAACACAGTAATGTGTTATTCCTACACCACATCAACTGTCTGTTGTTTTTCACACAACACAGTAATGTGTTATTCCTACACCACATCAACTGTCTGTTGTTTTTCACACAACACAGTAATGTGTTATTCCTACACCACATCAACTGTCTGTTGTTTTTCACACAACACAGTAATGTGTTATTCCTACATCACATCAACTGTCTGTGTTGTAATTACACAACACAGTAATGTGTTATTCCTACATCACATCAACTGTCTGTGGTGTTTTACACATATTCTTAAAGCTGATTAATTCTGTCTTCCTAGACAGAAAAATAGTAAAATTTCTTATTTTCTGAACTTCATTTTACTAAGCCATATATTAGGAACTCTAAATCTCAAGTTTTTCTTACAAAATGCTACCAATTAGGTTATTCTTCTTCATATAACCTAAGATTTTCTTGTCTATTTTATATATTCAAATGAGACCGGAGAAAGCCATCATAGAAAATTCCTTTTTGTCATTAACTGGCATTTAATAAATTTGACAAATTCAGAAAAATTCAAAATAGTGGTTCTTTTATCTGAAGAACCAAGCACTCATACTTCTCCTCCCAGCCAAAGTTTGCTTAGATCTTAAACATAGGTGCCTATATTTATATCTCTTTTGAAGGTTAATTGTGAAGAAGCCAAAATTTAATATCTTATTTTTTTACTGTACCATCCTTTCATTTGGTTGACTAGAAAATTTAGTTGATAAACTTCATAGACAATTCATTCACTGAAATGATATTTGAAAAATAAAGAATTACTGATGTATTTAATGTTTCTTGTGTATTATGAAAACTATTTTAACTATTTTTCCTGAATCAATATCAATGTTTTACCTTTCAATTAGTTGAAGTTTGACATAATACTTTTTTTTCCCTAATTTGTTGCTTAAGTTAGAGAAGTTAATGTAGTGTATATTCTGGTTATGAATTTTACACGACATATAATACAGGTATACCTGTTATAATGCTACATTTGAAGTTACACGTTTTAGTACCAGAATTGCTATAATGCACTGCATGATTTGGAGTTACACAACTTATGTTCTAGTACCAGAATTGCTATAACGCACTGCATGATTTGGAGTTATGTGAATTTTAAATCCCAAAAAATTTAAGGCTATTAAAAATGTGTAACAAACAGGCAATTACCCTGCAAAACAATCATGCCAATCCTGTGAGAAAGGTCCAAAAAATTAATTTTTATTTATTTCTCTTCAAATTAAATGTCTTGCTTGTAATATTTGTTTCTTTACATTAATATGTATCAATATATGTTTGTAAAAGTGGTTTACACCATTAATAAAATTAGCTTTAAGGGAAATATATTTTTGCAGTAATTCATCCCTAACTTATAATATTGTTCCTAAGGAAAAAAACCTGCATAATATAATGCAACGTTTTTTAGGAATGGATTCCGCGCATTATAGTAGGTATACCTGTACAACCTTCACAACATACATAATTAATCAAGGTTCCATTTTTGGAGGCTATAATTTTGTCACCATGGGTAAAGAGTGTTACTTAAGTTGTTGGATGAAAATACTTTTATCTTGAGTCATGCGCGTGCCGCATTACTGCTGTATGGATCCAACTTTTCCAAAAATCTCTTGCACTTCTTGTAACTGGTGCAAGAGAGATTTCAGTGTTTGTTCTTGTTCTATTATGTAATTCAAAGTCCAATTAATGACTTGAAGTGGATTAATGTTCACTGGCCAATGTGTACGTAATAATTTTCAATAGGGTTTCGAAACTGTGTATGCACAAATCACAACACCTACAGGGCAAGTGTAAAAAAAATATTTTAAAGGCTCTTTTTTTTAATAAAAAAAGGAACATTGTGGCTCACAAATGTAAATATAGTTAAATATATATACACATACACAAACAAAAGTACCCATCCCCAGTGACAAAGTTTTAACTTAATCTATCAATTCAAATTATTTCATGGAATTGAAAAAGATTAATTGTATTGTGCTCTTGGTTTCACTCAGAACCAAAGCTCTTGAGCTACTTATACCACCAATGGTAAAAAGTGATTGTTGAGCATTTCAGTCATGCTAAGAGCCACTCAACAATAACATACAATAAATCTACATTTTTATTCTTTAAGTTACAAAACATTTTGAAATGTGAATGACAGGGTGATTAATTCCTAACAATTTAGTGTGGAATATCCAGCTTGCAAAATAAATTTGGCATCAACGTTATTCATGCCTGTTCTCCCATCATTTCAAAAGTGAATGTTGAGCTTTGCCTGAATGCACAGCTTTTCAAATGCAGCATGGGAAATAGCCGCCGTAAACAAGAGACAAACACCACGGTTCACAATATACATATATATCTAAAAACTCATATTTTTACTAATAATAAATGTGAATTTCTATATAAAAGTTTCACAAAGAAATCCATTACTTTGCTGTGTGATGACAGATTTTACCATGAAAGTTCTGATAATAAAGACTGAATTATTCTGAAGAAATGCTACAAAATTGTCATATTTCTACAAATTTGTATTGGATAATTATGGTAATATCATGAGTTAAGTATCAAATATTTTTCAGCATTGTTTTCACTCGAAAGCCTAATATATGTATGCATGGTTGAAATTACAAGGGAAAACTTTTTCAGCTAACTAACCAAATGCAACTATGATAATAACAAAACCAAAGGTGAAGTCTCTATAGTAGATTATTAAAATTTGACAATGAAAAATTGTTATTACATCACGTCTTTAAACAGAGCTAAAATTTAGGAATCAGTACATATATACATACACACATGCTCAAAAACAAATCCACAATTCATATCTAACAAGCATAGTAAGCACAAAAACTTACTTTTTACCATGTGACACACTGGGAGAGTTGTGACGAAGGTGACGACGAGAAGCAGTAGTACTTTTAGGATCATCATTACTTGTTTTAGAATGGCTGCTACCATTTCTATGAATACCTGGAGCAACCCGTAAAGACTTTAATGGTGACATATAGTTGGGCTGAGCAGGAGCTGTTCCTGACGGAAGGGGCTTGAAGGGCTGAGAGTTTGTGCGTCTGTGAGCTCTCAGTTCTTCCACGCTAAAACACACCATTATATATGCAGTTACACTTTAATAAGTCATCCTTAAAGATTACGATAAAAATCCAACAGACAAAAGATTTTCATTAGCTCTTTCCTGACCAATGAGTGTTTAGGTCACTATTAAGTCACTCTCCGAAATCAACTATCAAAATTCAATCAAAAAATACAATTCTAATTCTATTTCAATATTTCATTTACTCTACAATATGTTAAAACTGATATAACAGCAATGTATAATGACTATTTAGCTTATCTCACAAATAAAAATTCAAAAAATGTTCAAATTATCAATTCTATTTTGTCTCTAGGTGTCTAGCTTTCTTGTTTTTCTATGGCTCCTAAACTTATATTCATTTCTACAACTTAACATTTTCCTCAACTGAAAATGTACTTCTGATAGATACTTACCTCCCTCACAAAATAGCTTTTCTTGATTGGTACTGCCCTCTATCAGGGCAAATTTTCCAATGCTTGCCACTAGCCTTCCATCTCCTCCTTCTACATTTCCACATGTAACCTATCATAACCAACACCCTCTCTACATTTGCACTCATTAATCACTTCGAGATTGATCAGAAGACCTACACCACATATCACCGGAAGTGGAGAGACTGGGTGGGAAATGTGAGAGAAGGTAAGTATCTATCAGAAATACATTTTAAGTTTAGGAAAATGTTAACTTCCGATACGATATCTTAACTCTACTCACAAAATAGCTAGGATCCCACATCAAACTGGTGGAGGGCCAGTGAAAAAATAATCCCCCTTTAGGAAGTACCCAAAGAAAGACCAGGTAGTGTGGAACCAAAAAGAAAATATTACACCACAGTGAAAGTCCGCACCATATCTGATCCAGATATACTCTTCACTCTTTTATCATTGTGTCATGAACATAAAAGGTGGAAAAACATGAAGGAATTCCATAATATGTGTTACCAGTTAATGGGACCCCTGGGTGTCAAGTGGCTAGGGTGCAACGCCTCATCCAACACCAGGCAGTATATCTGGAATGGTACATCAGTTCCACAGGAAGTAAAGGATCACCTACCTCTTCACCATGAAATGGAAATTGGTAGGGAAGACGAGCTTCTGTACCAGAATCCGTCACCACTTGTGTGCATTTCCAACCCAACCAACACTTGATCCACCATGAACCGATATCCAGCGGATGGTAGAAAGGAGGTAGGTTGGAGGAATGTTTCAGCCTGAGGGGCAAATATATATACACACACACACACATGTACATACATATATGTATGTATAATTGTGACATTGTGGGGTGCTTCAACCAAAACCTGGCAGTATGTGGAATTGTACATCAGGTCCATGGTAGGAAGAGCATTATGCCATCGACACATAATTCTAACCATGTCCAACCAACACCAGACCTATGGGAATGTACATCCAGAGAATGGCAGGAAAGAGGAATGCCATGGTGGGAAAAAGCAATCTGTCAGATATGTATATTAATACAGCATAATGCTACAACCAAAACTTGGTGGCATCTGGAATCATACATCATGTCAGCAGTAAGAAGAGCTACAACGTAGATGACAACCAGAATGGTCACAGGATGGACAGTGTGAATTTTCAAAGAAAAAAAAGTATACCTAGTCAGGCACCACTTACCACAGAGTGGGATCTACAATACACTAGCAAAAAGACTCCTGTAAATAAAGAAATAACAAAAGCATAGTAAAGAAAAACTAAGTCTGTGGTATAAAGGAAAATGTCAACAAATTTGTGAGCTAAAGCAAGTACATCTGTATAATACTACTGTCAATCGAAAAGTGATGAAATGAGTGCAAATGTGGAGAGGGCACTGGTTATGATAGGGGTTGTGTTGTAATCCTATTGATGGAAAGCTGCTGCATTATCATTTACATATCGATATGGAGAAGTGGGAGGTGGAAGGCTAGTGGCACACATCGGAAAATTTGTGCCGATAGAGGGCTGTACTAATCGAGAAATCAGCTTTCACCATTTTCAGTTAGCTCAACACGTGTTTTATATTTCTGTTTGTTCAACTGTGAGTTTATGGTTGAACATATATTTATTGTACAACACGGATTGACCTTGAGAACTTTGACTTAAAGCCAACAATCATCAAGATGGGAGGTGTTAAGTTTTAATGCTATGAAATATAAATTCCAATAGTACTGTGTGTAAATTAGTTATACTCTTGAGAATAGTGAGGTTAGGTTCAGTCAAAGGTAATGAAGAAACCTCAAACCAGAGTTTTGAAATACTACTTCCCAATTAATTATGGATTTTTTACAAGTTTTGATGATGTTATTTTTTTGCTCATAACAATGTTTTATTACGTCCTGTTGAAAGCTATAGGAATATTCTTCTATGACAATGCATTAGGAGAGGATAGAAGTTTGGAAATTACAGTAAGTTATAAATCCTGCAATGCCATGTTAATCAGATGGTACAAATCTTTTTTTACTGAAAGTATTGTTAAGTGTATTGTGTTCAAACAACACAAACAAAGAGAATAACTCCTTATATAATGGCTGGAGACGGCTTGAATGGGTAATGAAGAAAAACTTATATTAAAGTTTTTCTTCATTACACATTCAAGCCATCTCCAGCCATTATTAGTCTCAAATTGGGTTCCTCGTAATCGAATTTTAACTCCTTATATATTCAAAACAAATTATAATTATTAGATATAAGTTTATCTCACCCTAAAATAGTTGACAATATATCTTGCTAACAACTTGAGCAATGTTGCCATACTGAAAGTTGAAATCATTGTTCACCAATATATTTTTGTCAACCATACTGTGTTTGTTCTGACTCATAGCACGAAGTTGACAGTTTCGATGGTAAAATAACATCTCAAAATATATTAATGAATATCAAATGGATTAGATATATAAAATGACACTTTCTGATCAACAATATAAAGAGAATAAGTCTCAAATTAAAAAAAGAATTTATATTATTTTTCAAAACAGGATATCTGAACAAATTCTTTGAAATTTTCGCACCTTAAAAATTATACAAATACAAAATCAAATTTCAGGATTTCTAACTGCAATAGAAAGTTTGTAATAAATTTGATACAACTTGGTTAAAAATTTGCATTTTATGAATGAAAATAACAAGGGGATGTTAGTGATAACCCATCCAAAAGGATTAAGTAAAAAGATTAGTGCAAAACTTACTGGACAGCTCCAGTCGTTACAGAACGAGGATGACGACGTTGAGCTTTGATAAGGTTCAGCTTATCTCCTTGAGTGATGCCCTCACTATTGTTATTATTATTGCCATCATCTTCCTGATGTTTTCCACACCCCTTGACAGAGATATTTGGATGATTTAATGACAGTCTAGAGTAGTACTGTGTTTCAAAGCTATACCTTGGCATTTGAAAAACTTATATATATGTATATATATACATATAAAGTTTCAAATGTGATGAATATAAATATCTTGCATGACAATTAATGTTATTCTTGAGAAACTGAAAATTTTTTACATGTACATTTGGAAAGCACCAAACATTGAAATTATGAACAGTAAACCCTGTCAGGAAATTATATTACAGAGATAGTAGACCTCTTTCAAGCAAACATGCAGAAACAGAAAAACTGTTTAATATCCTCCTTCACATTTTTAATACAGATATATGTACCAAAACAAAGTACCCACTTACCTTGCCTAATAAAATAACTAGGAAGTGTATACATGCAAGTTTGAATAGCATATAAAGAATTAGTTTCTGGTATACTAAGTAATAC